ATTATGCATGCCCGACTAATTTTCGCTTGCAATTCGATTCTCCCGAGACTTCCGACCTACACACCATAAACAAGAAAAAACCGGAAAAATATACGGAAAACACACAGAAAACCGAAATAGCACGAAACACACAATAAACACTAAAATGAGCTAAAAACCGACGAAAAGACCGAACATGAGGGAAAAAGAACGGAGAAGTAACAACGAAAAATGTAACAAAAATGGGACAAACAATCGTGCACCGGGATCTCGATTGCGTAGATACCATAGTTGAAGACAAAGCTTAAACTGTAAGTTCTCGCGATCTAGGATCAAAATCGAATAGCTATAACCGGATCTTCTTGTTGGTAAGAAAAATTTTAAAAATTCCGCTGCGTGTGCGATTGATTCGTACAAAAAAAATCCAACTTCTTATTCAGAATATCCTCATCAACATCGAGATCAATGTTATCAAGCAACAAACCGACAACGTTGTTACCATCAACGTCAACCTCAATCTCACCAAAAATATCCTCTCCTTGGTGCTGGCTGACCCAATAGTCCCGGAACCAGGTGGAGGTTGTCACAAGGTCCCACCACTCAGGCGAGAAATCCTCGACTTGTCTCATCGAAGCCGGAATGAACAGAGGCGCGTTCGGATTAAGAGTCGTATTTCTCGCCTTGTCTCATCGAAGCCGGAATGAACAGAGGCGCGTTCGGATTAAGAGTCGACCTTACACCGGATACAAGAGACATGATTGATTGGCTTGTTGTTCGAATCAAAATCGCCTGTCAAGGAAAAAAAATAATTTAGTCTCTACATAACAATTTAGCTATCATCTACATAGATAAATCATATACAGTGTTGGTATCATTAAAAAAAAAAAAATCAAGTTCAGCATCTAAATCAAATACGATCAGATCATGAGCCATAACCCAGAAAGGATCAGTAAAAGCTAAGTTAAATTCAGTTAATTTGGATCCACAGTTTTCACACCAAACAAATCTTCATCAAATTCAATAATAATAAAAAAAAAAAGCCATTAGATTAATGAACTTCAGATCTATACACTTCAAAAGCATTAATCACACCAATCGGGTACAGTTGAAGAAAAAATAAAGGAAAATACAATTGATAACTATGGTACAACTTCGTCAACGCAGAGTACCTCGCAGGTAAAGCACGTTCTTCAACCCCAAAATCGCAGAGTTTACACGTAAAGGGCAATGACTCGTTAATGGGGAAAGAGGAAGATACTTATAGGCACGGACTCACGAGAACCAATAGGTTCGGAAACCGAGCCTCAGGTTCGGTCACTCCAAGCCAACTCACTGATTGTCAACACTGACGCGTGCGAGCCTGGCTGATTAGCCGAACGCCTCACAAACTTGTACACAGTGCATACACCTTTGTACGTGGACAATAAGTTAGGTCGAGTGACCGGCGATACCCGGTCCTCCACCGGTAAACTATGGATAAGTGCGGACGAGTGTCGAAGTTGCAGTGGGTGTGGGTCCGCCAAACATGCCGTGTTTAAAAATTCAAATCTTCTTTTATTTGTTTGTCGTATTTGGACGGGTTGATCGGACGGCTGAGGTGGGTTGTGAGAGGATCGTGCGGTGGAAAGGTGGGAACTTGGTAATGATGATTACGTGCGGCGGTGGGCCCGAACAATTAGGAAAAAATCTACTAAAAACCGCGTCGGGCACATGGAAGCATCATTGTTTAAAAGCCGTTTGTCTCTCTTAATTAGTGCTGCTTAGGGCGTCCCGGTTGGTTATTTTGACTAATTATTATGACGTGGACAAAAGAAAAGTAGGAGAGAGAGTAGTCACTAGCGACGAATAAATAGCTTATCTATTTCACGTAACCAAAATCATGTGAGAGGAGTATGTGGGTCTAATAGTGTAAAATAGTTGCTTTTCTTATCTCTCACATCGACGTCAGCTGACTATATATAGCTACTAATAACTATTACTATTGGGGATGGCGTAAGTATGAGATTTGTTTGCAATTAATTGGACAGTTTATGGGAAATGCTACACTTCCGGAATTATTTCGTCCGGATTTATAATTGTTAGATCTATATGTAATATGTAATTGTCGTGGATAGTTGAGCTAACGATTACAAACCTCGACAGATCTGTAACGAGACCATAGAATCTCCCACATTTTTATATTAGATGGTGAGTTTTAATTATTTTCATTATTTTTATTAACTTGCTTTGTTGATTGCTAAAAGAATGGGAGAAGTCAGAATTGGGCTATATATTTTTGTAGTACAGCACTCAATTGTGATGAAGTCAGAATCGTGAATAAGACAGTAATTTATTGAACCTACTATACGTAATTTTAGATACTGGTATACTTAATTTTAATTTTTTTATTATATCTAAAATCCAATTTCAATATTTATTTTTAAAATTTTATTATTATTATTATTTTTTTTTTTATTTTTTTTTTTAAGCAACTCAAATTTCATAATGATTGCTTCTTGTTTTACAAGAGAATGCGTTCCAGCGGTCCAAGATTTATTATTAGTTCTGATTCTGATAGTGGCCCATGTTAGTTTTTTGATTAATTGTTGTCCCACATCGGATGTATACCAAAGATGTGTA